CCCCAAAACCCCAAAACCCCGTAAAGCTGAATATATTATGAGGGAAATCAATTATTTAATTAAAATTAAATTCATCTTGGGTATTATTGATTAAAACCTGGATATCTTCCTTAAAGAGGATGGCTCTTATTCTCTCTTTCTATTATATTTTGGAAATCACCTAGAAATCTATCATCGTATGATTCTATTACAGCCCTTACAATACTCTGCCCATAAACCTTGACTAAAGTCATTACAAATTCCTATGCAGGGTATTAACAATTGTACCTATCATCTTTTGCAGTTCTAAAAGCAGGCTCTATAAATAACTCAAGGTATGGCCTGAACTATGATTTTCCAAAGTTTAAAATGATCTCAACTAATGATTGGAATAAATTCTCCTTTAGCAAGGAAGCCTCTGTAAATTAATCTAAGAATCCAAGATCGGGCAAGGACTAAAGAAGTTTTTGGAAATCCTATCCTATTATCTTTGAGTGCTTGGATATTTCTCTCATTAGATAAATACTGCCATCTGAAAATTCCCAAAGCTCAGCAGGTCTTAAAAATCCTGGGTCTACTAATTATTCTTGTTTAGCCTTCTCAAGTTCTTCTTATTACTTTATTCTATCTTCAATACTCATTTCTGAGCTCGAGTTCTTCGCCTCTTCAATATCAAATTTGATCCCGTAAGGAATGCTACTTTATGCTTTTAATGGCTATTATTACTTTGCTTTTAATAAGTTTTCTTTTAAGTAATTGGTTAATTTCTCTTTTAATTCAAAACCTTTTCCTAATAACTAGCCTAATGTTATAGATGCTGCTTCTCTCACTGTTGGAACATTTTCTGACAGATGCTTAAACAAGAGAAAGCAGACATTTTCAATTTAATCATAATCTTTGAGCTCTTCATCATATACCGATGCAATGTTTCCAATTGTTAAGAACACACCTCTTCTCACTTGCCATTAAGGATCAACAACTCTACTTATCAAATTTCCCAAAATCTAATTTAAATATGGCTTAAAAGCCTCTTTATCTAATGGTGCAACATGAATGAAAAGTTCATCGAAGCATTCAGTGGATACCTCTCTTACTTAGAAATTTTCTGAAAATAACTAACTATTATAAAACTCCACCACTTCATTGGAAAGTTTCAACAAGTTTTATTTTCCTTAATCCCCCATTATGAATTTCCAAGTATCTTAATTATAAATTTTGATGCCTTCTGCCATATAATGCCTGTTAAAGCAAATGCGAGGAACCAAAATTTTATCAATTAAATCTCTAAATTCCTCTACATCCTTGACTAATTCATATACAGCCCTTGCAGCTTTAGATGCGGAGAACCTTACCTAAGACCAATTATCTGCTAGTCCTGATCCGATATGAGTAGCTAATTTCTATATCCCCTTTAGATTATCTTTATTATACAGCTTTAATATGGATTAAATCAGATCCTATATTTGTTCTCTAACATATCTGTTTTTGCTTTGCACACAAAAATCTATAATCTCATAAATTTGGTCGCTGATATTTTCAATTCCAGCTGCATCTATGATCGCTTGAATCATTTTTAAATTGCTTTCTACATTATGATTGAGTTAGTTTGTTTATAAAAGCTTTGTCTTATCAATTTATCCCTGAATTAATGGCTGATTTGGTTTTGATTACTCAAGTTAGCTTAGCTTATTAATTAGATCTTTAAGATTATTGAACAGAATCGTCTGACAATTAATGTATTCGGAATCCTGAATATCTTTGTAAGTAACAAAGATACTTTTAATCAGAATGTGAAAGTTTTGTCTAACCCTGGCTTCACCATCACTCAACAACTTTTCAAAGTACTATTCTTTGAAATATGTGAGTTGAACAAACTCCTTTAGTCTTGGTATCTCTGGAATATTTGAAATAAAGCAAATTTAAGCTTGCAACGATCCAATTCTATTTTCATGTCTATTGGAGTCAATCATAAGTTTTAAAGTCTGTTCCAAAAGTATCATAACCTCATTCTGATGATGTTAATAGTAATTTTTAATCATATTGCTGATTGGCTCAAGTTATTTCTCTGCTCTTTATCTATCGAGTGGTAATGAACTACCTAAATTTACGATAGCTTGATTAATTGAGACAATATCTGCAATATAAAGTTCTGACATTAATAGTAAAATTTTAAATATTATAATGACTATTGATGTCTTTCTTTTTTGATGAGGGGTTTTGGGGTTTTGGGGTTTTGGGG